ATAACTCCTCCTCTAACTGCTGCTATACCCACTCCCTATAACTCCTCCTCTAACTGCTCCTATACCCTCTCACTATAACACCTCCTCTAACTGCTGCTATACCCACTCCCTATAACTCCTCCTCTAACTGCTCCTATACCCACTCCCTATAACTCCTCCTCTAACTGCTCCTATACCCACTCCCTATAACTCCTCCTCTCACTGCTCCTATACCCACACCCTATAACTCCTCCTCTAAATGCTCCTATACCCACTCCCTATAACTCCTCCCCTAACTGCTCCTATACCCACTCCCTATAACTACTCCTCTAACTGCTCCTATACCCACTCCCTATAACTCCTCCTCTCACTGCTCCTATACCCACTCCCTATAACTCCCCCTCTAACTGCTCCTATACCCACTCCCTATAACTCCTCCTCTAACTGCTCCTATACCCACTCCTTATAACTCCTCCCCTAACTGCTCCTATACCTACTCCTTATAACTCCTCCTATAACTGCTCCTACACCCACTCCCTATAACTCCTCCTCTCACTGCTCCTATACCCACTCCCTATAACTCCCCCTCTAACTGCTCCTATACCCACTCCCTATAACTCCTCCTCTAACTGCTCCTATACCCACTCCTTATAACTCCTCCCCTAACTGCTCCTATACCCACTCCTTATAACTCCTCCTATAACTGCTCCTACACCCACTCCCTATAACTCCTCCTCTAAATGCTCCTATACCCACTCCCTATAACTCCTCCTCTTACTGCTTCTATACCCACTCCCTATAACTACTCCTCTAACTGCTCCTATACCCACTCCCTATAACTCCTCCCCTAACTGCTCCTATACCTACTTCTTATAACTCCTCCTCTAACTGCTCCTATACCCACTTCCTATAACTGCTCCTATACCCACTCCTTATAACTACTCCTCTTAATGCTCCTATACCCACTCCCTATAACTCCCACTCTTACTGCTCCTATACCCACTCCCTATAATTCCTCCTGGAATAGCTGCTATATCCACGCTCGATAACTGTTCCCTATACGCCTGTTCTTTCTGTTCTCTTCAATCCTTTCATTATCTCCAGGAAATTATATCATGATATGTTCAATTATCCCATGCATCATATATAACTGTTAAATTATCATATGGGTATTTCTATATCACGGCGCACAATATGTCTGATTTATAAATAAACATTTTGTTTTAGGGAAAGAGAAGAAGATAAGGAGATGGCTGAATTCCTGCAGAGCAAATTGTCCAAAAGTTATCTGAAAAAAGCCGGTAAATAAAATACTACCAGACAGAACTCTGTGGTAGAGACAGACAGACATTCAGAATTCCTAGACACATGGATAGATAAAAAAAAAGAATTCTAAGAGTTAGCAAGCGAGAAGAATTTAAAGAGACAGACACACCAAATACTAACTTTTACCTTCAAGGGCATTGCTAGGTCGCAAAAAAGACCCACGGCTTC